AGAGAGAGAGAGAGAGGGGAGGAGAGAGAGAGAGAGAGGGAGAAGAGAGGAGAGAGAGAGAGAGGAGAGAGAGAGAGAGAGACGAGAGAAGGAGAGAGAGAGAGACGAAAGAAGAACTCCCCTAGTGCCCTGTCTCGGAGCTGATGGAATAGGGTTTTGACAACGAGAATCTAGCGAAGAGCTTCCGTTCCCTTGATTATGGAGAGCTATTGGCGAGTATGGAGAGATGTGGCTTGAGGGGACCCCCCAAGGTTATGGAGACGAGAAATGATTCTTGCTTATCCTTGGGAGACTAAGGAATTGTCGCTTTGGAGGAGAGCGGCGTAAGAGAGAATTGAAGTATGAATACTTGTTATGGTCAAGAGAGAGGAGGAAATGGAGGATGATAAGAGAAAGAGAGATGTTGATACGAGAGATGCGAGAAAAAGAAAAGAAAAGACGAGAAAGAGCGAGAAAGAGCGAGAGAGACGAGGAAAGGAGAGAGAGAGACGAGTGAGAGCGAGAGAGGCGAAGGGTGAGATAGAAGACGAGAAGATCGAGAGCGAGATGAGATAGAGAGAAGAGAGAGAAGAGAATTTGAGAGAGAGGGAGAGAGGAGCGGAAGATGACTGTAGGAGGGAGAGAGAGAGGCAGATGAAGGATGACGAGTACCGAGAGAGAGAGAGTGATAGCGAGATAAATCGAGGCCCGACTGTCGAGAAGAAGATAGAGGGAGATGATGGACCGTATGCAGAGAGTGAGAGAGAGAGATTGCGAGAGAGATGAATCTTGAATGAGACGAGAGGATGAGAGAGAGAGGAAGAGGATCGAAGTCAGTAAGGCAAAGAGAGTATCACCGAGAGGAAGATAAAGAAAGAGCGCACCCAAGAGGAAGAGTTGAAGAAGGAGAGAGAGGAAAGAGAGAGAGGAAAGACGAGAAGAGAGGACCAGAGAATTCGAGAGAGCCAAACGGGATTAGAGGGAGATGACGAGCAGGTGATATGAGACAGACTTCCTCCCATCAGGGACTACGCCCGGAGACCGAGTTGTGATGAAGATGAGAGAGAGGAGATCGAGAGACTCACATGGACATGATCCGTTGAGGAGAGAGATGAGGAATCGAGAGCTACGAATCGCAGCCCCGGCAGACATCGCCGAGAGAGAGACAATAGCGAGAGACCGAGGCGACTCGAGAGAGAGAGCTGAGGAGCGCGTAGAGAGATGCGAAAACACAACGGATAAACAATACAACGTGAAATCTCAAAATACTCAACCCTGACAAGACCCGAGACCGACTATGGTCTTACAGCCCACATGCCGTCCCCCTGCCTTCCCCCTTTCCCCCCTCCCCCCTCTCCCTCACCCCCCTCTCCCCCCCACCAAACCCCTCTTCCCCCCATCGACAACACCTCCCTGACTCCATTAATGCCTTAATAACACTGCTCATAACGCGGGAGAAGCTTACAAAGTCTTAGAAAATTCAAGGTCTGATCCTCCCATAATAGGATTTACAGGCGCTTTGAAGAGTCCGGCCCAGGCATCATTGGGTTCCTCATGTTCTCGGGGAGGGGCGTCCGCAGGAGCAGGAGGGAGGGGGGGGGGATAGGAGAGAGACGAGAGAGGGACGCGGAGAGAGAGAAGTGAACAGGGCGGAGGGGGGAAAGGAGGAGGAGAGGAACGGAGAAGAGGGTGGTATGGAACGAAGGGAGACGGAGAGAGGGAGAGGTAGGGAGTCGGGACGAGTAGGGAGAGAGGAGAGAGGGAGAGAGTAGGGGGGGACGAGGAGAGAGAGAGAAGCAAACAGACAACGAGACCTAGACACATCGACACAAATAGAGAAAATTATATCAAAAGACCTTATTTATTTACGCATCTTTAAAACAAAGCGAGAAAGAGACGACGTCCAAATCTTTGCACACATCATGATATTTACTACACATATATGTATATGTATACAGATAGATAAATAGATAGATTCACATTCATATATATAATTTATATATTGGATAAAGCGAAACCCGCCTCGGGATTTAATCCCCCATGATCCCCCGAGCTGCGCCCATGCGTGGCCGAAACTTCCTTCCAAATCCCGTCTAGTGATAGGTAAATTGATTTGTTACTATCTACACACCAGTAATCGAGTAACTATACTACCCGGCGGAGTAAACACAAAGATATTAGTACATACTATAGAAATGTATTAATATTAATCCGTTATATCTATATATCTCTCTTATTATTTGATGATGATCAGCTATATTTATTAATGATGAAGATAAAAAGACAAAAATGATAAATGAAGAATTGTTTCTTTATAAGAGTTCATCAAATACGAGATTGAGGAAGCATATGAAGAGCAATACCGTATCAACTTTTTAAACACAATTAGTCTAATCCGAATGTAGACGCGCAGTTTTGTATTGACATAAGAAAATAAAGTTAAATTTGAATTCTAGCTATCGTAAATTTTATGGTGATTGGTAAGTTGATTTAAAAATTTATAGATGGATAAGAAAATCGCAAATATCTCCATATGCCACAAACGTATCTACATACTTAATTGAGACCTACAACCCAAACAATCAAAAAAGTATTAAGGGAACACAATGAATCAAAAGAAAAGACAAACAGACTAACTAAGAAACAAGAAACCAACAAGAGCAGAAAGGAAAACCGAAACAAGTTTGATTTAATAAAAAAGACCCAGAGAAAGCCCTTGCAAACACGTTCCCTGCAACGTTGCACTGCCCCTCAGACCCGCTGATGAATCTGTTTACTGTCCCTTTTTTAATTTTTTGAGGAAGGGAAAAGAATATGCGCACACACGCACACACGCACACACGCGCGCGCGCACGCACACACACCACACAAAAAAAAAACTATATAAAATAAATAAAACAAGTAAAATAAGCACGCACACAGACAAACACACACACACAGACAAGCACACACCACACACACACACACCACACACACACACACACCACAACACACCACACTCACACACACAACAAAAAAAAAAAAAAAAAAAAAAAATAAAAAAAAAAAACTATTATAAAATAAAAAAACAAATAAATAGCTTAAAAAAAAAATAATAATAATCATAGATGGAAAAGAAGATAAAACAAATTGAGTTCGATTCGCCTCCCAACACTACCAGTACCTCTTGAGCAACTAAGCCGACGAGCTTGCTAGAGTCAACTGAATTAAAACAAAGCGATCAAAATTGACAAACATATAGCAAAAAAAACAAAACAACGAACACGAACAAACCCTTCCACCCCCTCCCCCCACCCTCCCACACCACACCACCACCACCCACTCGATAAAGCAGGAACACGACACGACGGATAATACACGGGTAATGCCTAAAAACCACCGGAATTGCTGATTGAATCCAGGTTCATTTCTCCCAGGAACCTTACGCTCTTCCCCCACCCCCCAGCGCCCCGCCCACCCCCACACACACACCTGTTTATTCGAGAAGTATTTTAAATTTAGATAATGAGTTTGGGTGAGACACGGAAGGAGGTAATATCAGTCGTTGAGGCGTATAACAAGCTATAATGGAAGGGTCTAGTAAGGAAGAGTGGGAAAGATGAACTGGGGCAGTCTGAGTAGGAAAAGGGCTCTTTGTAAGTAGAAAGTAAGAGAAGAGGAGGATGGAAAAGGTAAATGGAAAGTACCTGAATGAGAGAATGGTAGTAGAGGGAGGGGGAAAGGATGGAAGAAGGGAAAGAGAGGGGGGAAGTGAGAAAGGAGCCACGATAAGACTAGAAGAACAGGAAGCAACAGACAGTGTGAACAGGAGGAAGAGGCAAAGAGAAGGGGGGGGGGCACGATGTCAGATAGAGCTGCCCTCGCTTTTAGTCTTCCGAATGAAAGGCTCATGAAGCTTTACTATACTCTACTCCCCGATTGAGTCGCCCACAGAGACCGCGCTAGTAGGCATACAGCGGTTACATCCCCGATACGAATTTTTATGAAGTAGCTGTGTGAGAGCTAGTGTGGTCCCACTGTAGGGGAGGAATTTAGGAACAGGAGAGCGACGGAGGGAATAGGAATAGTATAGCGAGGCAGTGAGAGGAGCGTGAACAATTGAGGAGAGCGTGATGGATGAAGTAATGAGTGTATCCCAATATTATTTTAGATATATTGGGAAGAAATAGAGTTGTGCTACGAGTAAGAGGAAAACTGTGAAAAACGAGACAAATGACAGAGAGAAGAGAGGGGCGATAGGAGACTATAAACATGAGTCAAAATGAAAAGAGAGGAGGAAGAAGAAAGGAGAAGAAGCCAGGCGAAGAGGAAAAGGGAAGAAGAAAGGCAAATAATGAGAGGGGAGAGGTACGGGACTGAGTGGGACAGGACTCGGTACAGGTAAGCCGGTGACCCCGAATATAGTTAACACCCGGCCGCGTGGAATTCCTGTAACCTCGTCATG